ACATATACCCACATGAATCTGCTGAAATCATCAACTAGCAATAAAAAGTACCTGTTCCCAGATGGTGTACTTGGTGTAATAGGACCACACAGATCAGCATGTATCAGTTCAAGGGGTTGCTGTGCTCGATAAGAAATTTGGGATGGGAATGGAAGACGTCGTTGCTTCCCAACGAGACAAGCTTCACACAATTGTGACTTATGATTTATGTTTGGCACACCGATCACCAATTTTTCTATTAATAACTTCCTTATAACATCAAAGTTGAAATGTCCAAGGCGTGCATGCCAAATCCAGGCTGCCTCGTCCATCTTTGCAAGTAAACATGTTGGTGGAACTATATGAAGATGTACCTTATATAGTCGGTTTGGAGACTTCTTCACTTTCATCAATGTTGCTCCTGATCGGTCATATAGCCAAAGAAAACCGTCCTCCATAACAATTTTGCATCCCACCTCGTCAAGTTGGCCCAAACTTAGTATATGATTACATAAGTCTGGAATATAGTAGACGTTGGTGATGAGCCACCCTCTGCCTTGCCTTTGATTTCAACTGTCTTTGATTTCAACTGTTGAACCATCTCACAACTTCACACTTCCCACTATCTCTTCATTGAGGTTGCTAAAATAACCCCGTTCCCCGGTCATGTGATTGCTAGCACCATTATCTAAATACCATGTGCCTTCCTTGCTGTTCTCTTTGGCATATTCACAAGGAAACACTCTCTCCTCATTCAGCATCATCACATCTTGTACATTCTTTACCATTAGCTAAGTGGGTTCATCATCCTCCTTTGCTAGATTAGCTTCATCATCGGTTCTTCTAGGAGCCCGACACTCGACAGAGAAATTACCAAGCGTATCACAACTATAACACCGCAGGTTCCTTCGGTCACGTTTACCACCTCGTTCATCCTGTCCAGCTCTTTGGTTATTATTTGAGGGATTTCGGCCCCCTCGTCCATGCCCGTTAGGTCTGCCATGCCCACAACCTTGGCCACGGTGATCATTAAATCCTGTTCCACGACCCCTGCCGGCTTGGCTTGACTCAGTTTTCTGCCTTTCTTGCCATTCAGCCCTTGTTAAGGCCTTGTTCCGTTCAACTTATTTTTTCTTATTTTTTCTTATTCTTATTAAAATCAGATCAAATCAGACCAGACCAGAGATCGAATCAGATCAGATCAGATCGAATCAGATAAATTCAGATCAGATCATATCAGATCCAATCAGATCAGACCAGATCAGATCAGATCCCATGAAGAATTATTATTATTATTATCATTATTATTCTTAAAAATGAAAAAGAATAAAATTTAGAAACAAGTTAAATAGAAAACTGAGAAAGTAATCCTTAATTATTAGACGTTAGAAAAATTATTTTTAAAATACATTGACTATGTCAATCTAATTCTACTTTTAAAATATATTTTTATTGCTACTTGTAATTTGAGTTTCTCTAGGATGATCTTTTATACTATCTCTTCTATATATTGATTATCTAAATGTAATTATTTTTTAATGTATATTTAAATTAAATATTTATTCTAATGTATATATGAAGTAATTATTAAAATATTAAACTAATATTCTAATTCCACAAAAAACTAATCCTAAAATAAAAATATTACTACATTATAATATGAATGATTATTCTAATATATTACATCATTACATATATAATATAAATGATTATTACATTATTACATTATAAACTAATTTTATTTTATTAAAAATAATCATAAAATAAAAACATTGATTATATTATAATATGAATTATCATTACAATTTTCAAACGTTTTATAAAGTCAAATCAAATTATGGATTTGAATTTTAAATCAAATCATAATTAATCAGATCAGACCAGATCAGATCCAATCAGATCAGATCAGACCAGATTAGATCAGATCCAATCAGATCAGATCAGATCCAGTCAGATCAAATAAGAACTTATCAAAATCAGATTAGATCAGAAAAAATAAGTTGAACGGAACAGAGCCTAACAACAATTGATCTGATGAATCTTTGACAGGTCCACCAGGAGTAATCCGTTCCTCATAGGCCTTAAGGCTACCAACAGCTTCCTCAAACGCCATAGTATTCAAGTCCGAATATTGTTCTATTGTGGCAACAATTGGAAGGAACTTGTTTGTGGCAGAATTAAGCAACTTATTTACTTGTTTCTTCTCCTCAATTGTTGATCCAAGTGCCCGAACCTTAGACACGATCTTGCTGATCTTGCTTGCAAAATCATCAATACTCTCACTTTCCTTCATTCTCAGTAGTTCAAACTCTCTGTTCAGAGTTTGGATTCGTGCTTGTTTAACCGGATCGGCTCCAAGATAACGCACCCTGAGTGCATCCCACACGTCCTTGGCCTCTGCATGTCCTCCTATTTGCATCAGAATGTCTTCCGGTAGTGCCTGGAAGATAAAGGCCCTTGCCTTCTTCCGGATCTTGACGTCCACCTCCGTCGCATCCGGTGGTTCTATGGCATCCCAAATTCCTTGGGCATCCATAAACGACTGCATCTTGATAGCCCAAGATGTATAATTTGTTGTAGTGAGTACAGGACATTGGTACGTTGTCGAGCCTCCATCTCAAACTGGGGTAACAGCAACAACATCGTTTGATTTTTTTGTATTGATGGCCTCCATCGCAGACTATTGTGTTTTTCAAGGTGTATTGCAAGAAAACTACTTGTCACAGATCTGTTTTTGATTTTTTTTCCTTACCTGGGCTCCGATACCAATTGAGAGTAAAAAAATCAGATCTGGAGTATATAAATAGTGTTTTTTTATTGTGGAACTGCTGTCCAGAACAATGTGTCCATATATACAAATAAAGGACTAAACAACACAACCATTACAAATAGACACAACAGTTAATAACCAACACATCTGTTGGAAACTGTCATAAACTGCCTAACTGCCTGCCTTTTTTCTTATTATTATTTTTTTAAAATTTAAACTAAATTCTGGAATGGAATTAACCAACATGTTCTGCTAGAGCATCCCAATGAAATCCACCTTGGTTAGTAACCGATTAAGGAGGTCTGAGATAGTACCAAAGTGACGAATGAATTTACGATAATAGCTTGCCAAACCAAGAAATCCCCGAACTCCTTTGGTAGTGGTTGGTTTAGTCCACTCAAGAACTGCATCCACCTTCTGGGGGCCCACTTCCACCCCTTTCTCCAAAATGATATGTCCCAAAACAACATTTGGATTCTTTGGCACACAAGTGGTTAGAATCCAAGATGTTTAAAACTTGATGAAGGCGACTCAAGTGATCATCCCATGACTTTGAATAAACTTGAATATCGTCAAAGAACACAAGAATAAACTTACGTAGGTAAGGCCGGGATAAGTCATTCATGAGACCTTGAAAGGTGGCTGGGGCGTTGGTGAGTCCAATTGGCATTACGGTGAACTCGTAATGCTCTTCGTGAGTATGAAAAACAGTCTTATGGACGTCCTCCTCCCGAACTCTAATATGATGATATCCCGAGCGCAAATCAAGTTTAGAAAAGAATTGTGCTCCTTGTAGCTCGTCTAGAAGCCCGTCAATGACTGGGATCAGGTATTTATCTTTAACAGTGAGTTCATTAAGCACCCGGTAATCAACACAAAAACGCCAAGATCCATCGTGCTTCTTGACGAGTAATACCGGGGAAGAGAAGCGGCTACTTGGTTGAATGATTCCAGATTGTAACATATCACAAACCATTTTTTCCATTTCTACCTTTTGATAGTATGGGTACGGATAAGGTCGCACACTGACCGGACCTGCCCCTGCCTTCAATGTGATACGATGCTCATGAGATCGATGTGGTGGTTACGTGGGCGGCTCCATAAAAATCTGCTGAAACTGGTGTAGCAATTGTCGGAGATCCGCGATGGGAGAGTTGTTCGAATGATTCTGTGTAGGCGGCAACTGTAGTCGTTTGTGTCAGATGAGAGAGAGCTCCGGAGGGTCTTCGAAATCTGTTGGACTGAATCGTTGCAGAGCCGCTTGAGTGAGTTCTCCCCGCGTGAGTGTTCCTCTAAGTTTTGTATACCACCGGTACCACTGGGGGACAATACCCTCCATGTGAAATGAGGCTAAAGATACTTGCTGATCGGAAGGAATCTTGGCGAACTCAAATTAATGCTCAGATAAGTAAACTCATCTGATTGGGTCATTTCCGGTAATCTTGGGAAAGAACAGTGTGGTTTGAGGTTGAGTATTGCCGACATGAGTGAACGGCGATCCGCGGTGGTGACTGGATGACCCCGACGAGCCGTTGGATTGGCCGCCATTGATGGAGGTTTCAAGGATCTGTAGTTTGTCAAGAAGGGTTTGTACAGCAGAGGTTAATTGTTGATTGCTAGTAGTGAGGTGGTTCAATTGGATTCTGTGTTGGACTAGGGTTTCACTCACCTCCTGCGCCTTGTGATGTTGAGCTTTGTTGCGGGTTTCCATTGGATCAAGGCCCGATACTAAATGACAGTATCAAATCCCAATCAAGAAGACAAGAAGAAAAGAAACGAGCAGAAGAGTTGAGGATAATTGTCTGATATTGATTATTCCTCCAAAAGTAACAATGCAGGGATAAATAGCTAGATGAGAATAACCACCCAATATTCCATAGATCCACTACATGCATGACCTACTCTTATGCAATAAACAAGGAACAACTTGCCCACTTAACTAAACGTGCAGACTTAAATAATAATAATGAAAACATGCAAGGAAACTAATGCAAAGTAAATAAACGACACATCATCATATCTTGCCTCCTCCTCTCTTCGTGCCTCCCATGCGCCTTCGTGTTGATGAGCACATATCAGTATGCTTCAGGGCAAAGTATAATGGCACATAATCACATTTGCAGAAGTTTGAGATTGCATTGCAATAAATTATACTCTATCTTTGATGCGCGTAATTTCTTGGTAGATGCTGAGAGATAACCTTATAATTTTTATTCTGAAAATAGTAATGCCAGGAATCTTTGATGTGCAGATATTTCAGAAATGTCCGCCATTCCCACAGTCTCAAATGTTTGCCAAGATCTGAATAAGTTCCAGGAGAAACATGCAAAGCTCGTTCTCTCATCAGTGAAGGTACATTGCATTTCTTTTGTCTGCAAGCAGCCATCATCATTCGAATGGATGATAAAGTAGAGAGGTGGACGAGAAAGCTTGTAGTTAGATAAAACAGTTAATCTGGGATTAGCCTTATCTTGCAGTGGTATTCTAATATTACATACCTACTTAGTCCCTATATTTATGCTTACGGTTTTTTTCCATTGTTATACATGGCTTATCATCATCATCATCATTATTATTATCATTATCATTATCATTATAATCATGATCATCGTCATCGTTCTCCTCTGCTTTCTCCTCCCTCCCTCCTCCTCCTTCTCTGATAGATACCAAAAACAGGAAAGTAAAAACAAGAACGAATCTTCTAAATCTCTTTAAATCAAGAATCTCGATTTATTCAGACTAAGAAGCCCAAGAGAATCTCTGAAAATATGAATCGTAATATTTCTCCTCCCCTTTAGCATAAACTGGCTAAGGGTATAAATAGTGCATTAATACAAGGGATGTAACAGAAAAGAGAAACTGACTCCTTGGGTTTAGATGGTGATCCCATTATCCTACAATTATTTCAACCGACTCCAACAACTTTGATTGACTCAATTGACTCAATTACTCAATTACTAATATAAAGGGATAGACTCAGATTTAGGTAAATAAATAAATAAACATCACCAAGTCAGAAAACATGACTAAGTCAAATGCTTATTCCTGCGCTGCTGATAAGTGAGTAGTGCCTTAGTCTTATTCAGAGTCATATCATTAGTCCCTCCGTGGAAAACAGACTTGTCCTCAAGTCGGAAATCTGGAAATTGTTACGCCACCAAATCATACTCTTCCCAGGTAGCCTCTTCCGGCGGTCGGCCTAGTACTAACACTTCTACTGTGTCAGCATTCAAGCGCTTGTGCAGAACATTTTCGTGCTCTAATAGTAGCTCCATGTCAGGTGAAATGGGTAGTTCCACTGGTGGAGTGGTGGGTGACTGCCCATGAGCTGGTCGTAGTAATGGCACATGAAAAACAGGATGGATTCTAGCTGATGTAGGTAATTCAAGCTCGTTTGCAATCTCTCCGATCTTTCACAATATTTTCTAAGGTCCAAAAAATGCGGAGAGAGTTTCATATACTAGTAGTGAGAGTTTTCTGCTCCATGAGGCACTTGTGGCTGTGATGATCAGTTCTAACTGTGAAGTGATGTCCCAGCACATAATGACGCCAATGTTGTATGGCTAAGACCACAGCTAACAACTCCCGGTCGTATGCAGATCTGTACCTGTTTGAAAAAGAGAAACCCTTGCTATAGAAAGCAATGAGATGACCTTTTTGCAAAAGAGTAGCTCCTATTCCTTCCATAGAAGCATCATATTCAATCACGAATTCAACAGAAAAAACAGGAAGTTGAGCACTGGTGCATTAATCAAAGACCATTTGAGTTTGTCAAAAGCTTTTTGGGCAGAATCAGACCAACAGAAAGCATTTTTCTTGGTTAGAACAGTCAAGGGTCGAGCAATCATACCATAACTTTGCACGAACTGGCGATAGTATCCAGTAAGTCCTAGAAATCCCCGTAATTCAGTTACATTGCCAGACACTGGCCAATCTCTCACTGCGGCAATCTTTTCACATTGTGTCTCCACACCATGAGAAGAGATTTTGTCCCAAAAAGAAGACTCGAGTCCGTCCTAAGTCACATTTCTTCGCACTTACATGATTTGAGTTTCTGCAATGTTAATGAAATAGTGCGATGGTGCTCCCTGTGTTGATCTAAATCCTTGCTATAGATTAAGATATCATCAAAAGAACCAACACAAACTTTCTTAAGTGAGGTCTAAAAAGATCGTTCATTGCTGCCTGGGAAGTAGCCGGAGCATTAGTGAGGCCGAATGGAATGAGGACATATTCATAGTGTCCATTATGAGTTCTAAACGCCGTTTTTGGAATGTCGGTCTCTAAAACTCTAATTTGGTGATAGCCAAAGCGAAGGTCAATTTTTGAAAAACATGCAGCACCATTCAACTCATCCAATAATTCATCAATATTGAGAATAGGATACTTATCTGGGATGGTGAGTTTGCTGAGTGCAGAGTGGCCTGTAATCAACATACATACGCCATGTTACATCCTTTTTCTTTACTAAGAGCACCATACTGGAAAACGGACTTGAACTATGACGGATGAAGCCCTTCTGAAGCCACTCATTAACCTGTCTTTCGATCTCATTCTTCTGAAAATATGGACACCTGTAAGGTCTCAAATTAGGCGGAATTGATCCAGGAAGAAGAGGAATCGGATGGTAGTGCTCCCGGAATGGTGGTAGTGTTGTAGGCTCATAAAAGACAGCTGCAAATTCCATGTACAATTCCTCCAAATCCATGACTTCACTGCTGGTTGGAAACTCATTAGTGCCAACAGCCATCATGGAGTGCAGAGCCGCTTCAGATTTAGTGGATTTGGGAATTCCTTGCAATTTATACCTTTTTCCATCTACCCAGAAAATCAGAAACATTTCATTCAAGTTGGCTTTATTAGTGTTCAGGGAAGCCAACCACTTGATGCCCAGCACGAGATTAGATCTAGAGAGAGAAAATGGATAAAAATCCTGAGTAATACACTAATACTCAAACCTGGAAGCTGCAACTTTACGGCCTTGTATATTTTTCCACAATGCACCAGGCTGCCATCCCCAATCTGTACCCTCTACACTGGAATAGAGGTGGTAACTGGTAACTAAATTTAATTCATTTACCAACCTTTTTTCCATCATCTCCGATGGAGCCAAAATTTCACCATTTTTTGGCTTTGGGGTGTGATGGAATAAATCAAAATGGATGGTGAATTTGGTAATAGCCAAAGCGAAGGTCAATTTTTGAAAAACATGCAGCACCATTCAACTCATCCAATAATTCATCAATATTGAGAATAGGATACTTATCTGGGATGGTGAGTTTGCTGAGTGCAGAGTGGCCTGTAATCAACACACATACGCCATGTTACATCCTTTTTCTTTACTAAGAGCACCATACTGGAAAACGGACTTGAACTATGACGGATGAAGCCCTTCTGAAGCCACTCATTAACCTGTCTTTCGATCTCATTCTTCTGAAATGTGTGTACGCAGACCTTGCCCCTACTTGAAAGTAGAGAGGCTCTTTCCAAAGAGACCCCCGGCTCAACGTCGAAAGTTGCATTGCTTGATTAACTGCTACTTCATTAATTAAAGAAGCCTCCCCAGACCATACTCTTGTGGGATTTAACTGGGTTGTTGTTGTTGTTGTTGTTACCAACCTTTATGAGATGAAGTTGTGGATGGAGCCGCTATCAACTAAACACAGGACATTGCGGTTTTGAATTGATATTTGTAGGCTGTAGCTTCATTGTTGCCGCTGATGATGTCCCAAGAATGGCATTGAAAGAAATTTCTGCCTCTTCTATGATTTCTTCCATTTCAGCAGCAGGCTCAAATGTTTCCGGAATTGGGTTTCCCTCCACATCTACTTTTATTAGTTAGAAAGTGGATGTCGTACAACGGTGCCCCGGCCGAAATGGGTCTCCACAGCGGAAAATGAGCCCTTTGTGTGTCGTTCTTTCCGAGTAGTATCCCACGAATTGGAGCGAAAGGGAATGACCGAGTGTGAGAAAACTGCGCTTTGCGACTTAGGATTGTGCGAAGTTGAGGTCTTTGCCGAGGAACCCGAATCAGGTACAGATTGATTCCTGCCCGAGTTGGTGCTATAAGTGGCCCGGGTTGAACTTGCAGTTGAACAAGGTCGGGTACTTTTGGTAACCTGCAGCTTTTTATTCATCTCTAGGGCCAAAATTGTCGCACGATAGACACTTTGAGGTTTGTGTATTCTCACCTCAGAGCGCAATTCCTCCTTCAATCCGTTCAGGAAAATCCCGAGCAGGCAGTGATTGGGCCAACTTTTCAGTTTTCACCCTTGCCAACTCATCGTGCCCATTCCACACGATATTCTTGGACAGTTCCCCCTGTTGAACGGCTGCGAGGTACTCATCTGGATTTTGGTATTTGGGACGTCCGTATTGTTCTTGCAATATCTTGACCAATTCCTCCTAGTACAACACCATACGTTCCAATAAAGCCCAAGAAAACATGTCCAATGCATCTCCTTCAAGATACATCGACGCTATGTCCACCTTTTCTTCATCCGGTGTTTCATAGTACCGAAAATATTTCTCTGCTTTCAAAATCCAACCACGCGGGTCACCTCCTGAGAATTTGGGAAACTCAAATTTTGCATACGGAAGTCGGAAGTGCCGTGAATGAGATTCTGATTCCTCCTAGGAATCGTCAGCATGGATCTTCTTCTTCTTCTTTGTTGTTGGATTGCGGTTGTTGACTTCTAAAGCTGCTACTTTGTCTCGTAGCTCGTCCAGAATGTCCATTCGGGCAGCGATGGCGGCCAAGGTATCACTCTGTTGTGCTAGGGTGTTGCCGACCTCAGGATTGTCTTCAATTGTGGAAGATCGAGTGTTTACCATAGTTGGGCAAGAAGATCATGCCTCTGATACCAAAATGATATATACAAAAACTGGAAACTAAAAACAAGAACAAATCTTCTAAATCTTTTTAAATCAAGAATCTCGATTTATTGACACTATGAAGCCCAAGATCATCTTTGAAAATATAAATCGTAATATTTTTCCTCCCCTTTAGCATAAACTGGCTAAAGGTATATATAGTGCAGTAGTACAATGGAAATAACGGAAAAGAGAAACTGACTCCTTGGGTTTAGATGGTGATCCCATTATCCCACAATTCTTTCAAGTGACTCTAACAACTTTGACTGACTCAATTGCTAATAAAAAGGGATATGTTAAATGACTAACTTTGACTGACTCATTTACTAATATATAGGGATATCTCTGTAAATCCATTATATATATATGTGTGTGTGTGTGTGTGTGTGTGTGTGTGTGTGTGTGCGCGCGCGTGCGTGCGTGCGTGCGTGCGCGCGCGCGCGCGCAATGAGCGGAAGAAACTTTTCTCGGATCTGTTTGATGGAAAGACCGTGTTCATAGGGAAGAGAGAAGGATACTACAAGGGATATCCCTCAGTTTATTTCAACGCTCATGAAGCCCTGGAACTGGAGAACAAGCACTGATTTTCACTGGTTGGTCGTGGAAATAAATGGATGGATCTTCCGAATACCAAACAAACCCTCATTGAAATTGGTTTTGGTAGGGATGTTCAGCTCAGGTATTTGTCATGTTTTCATGTTCTTCTCTCCTCCAATGAACACGACTATCAAATATTCTCTTTAAAAGACGCTGGATTTTTGAATCCTCAAGTATTTATGTTTCGAAATGGACCCCAGAGTAATTGCCGGATAAGGAAAGCCCGATAGTTCCTATTTGTGTAACTATCAACCATATCCCCATACATCTGCTGCAACTAAAAGCTCTTTACACGATTTTTTTCTGTTTGGGTAGGATAGTGAAAGTCGATGACTCCAATTTCTATGGTCTAAGACATGATGCAGCTAGGATCTGTCTTGAGGTGGATGTATCAGCCCCTCTTCCTCCTTCAGTTAACGTTACATTGGGTGATAGAGACTTCTTCATACTTGCCTTTTGAAGTATGTCCCTTGGTTTTGCTCTACTTGTTTCTGCCTGGGGCACAACAGCAAAGCATGCCTTAAATATCCAGTCCCTAAACCCACTAGTAAAGTACCTGCCGGTGGGAAGATGATTGTAGTTAGGGCATCAGTTGGTCGGAACCATTGCTATGTTATTTTTCCCTGTAGCTCAATTAGTCAACCATTGCTATGTTATTCTTCCCTATAGCTCTCTCCCTTTCTTACTCAGCCAGTAAGTCAATCTAGTCTAAATGACTGGAAGACCAAGAGCTAACTATCGCGATTTTGAACTATCCGGACACATACTTCGTGAAATGGTTGAAGCATGCCTGTTACCCGGCGCAATCAGATCAAGTTGGTAGGGATTCAGGCATAAATTGGGAGAATTCGCAGCCACATTAAATTTCCGAGGGCATGAAATAATCCATAAATCTCCATTTTTTTATATTTCATAGATATAGAATGAAAAAATTGTCATCCAATGCGTTTCGAAGATCCAATTCTTCCTTAATTGGCCCATATAAGGATTTGGGTCAATTCATGAACGTAACTCAATTCTTATCTTATTGATGCACTTTTTATTGATCCGATTTATGCGAGATTTCTTGAGTGTATTCACGCTTTTTTTCTCAGATTAAATCTTTTCGTATCGTCGTCAATGATTTTTTACTCTCTTCAATACATTTTTATCAAAATCAAGAATTTGTCACGATATTCGTATTCACGATTTATTTGCATTTAGTGCTACTGCCCTATTGATTCTATTCCCGACTGCCCTTCTCCTGATTCTTTATGCCAAAACAGTAAGTCAAAATAATTAGTTACTCCCAAAACTTTTTCCTTTTGAGTCCGCTTATAGCAAAAATTGTAGGACATCTTTTTAATGTGACTGAGAAACAAGCAATCAACTCTGCCATATACTAAATAAGAACCATAAATGAACTGTATTTATGTATAAATAGATAGTGAGGGTTGATAAAGAAATGAAACCCAGACGATCTATTCGATATTTATATTTATTTGTTGTGAATAGTTGAAACGAAAGACATGGGGATAGAGGTTTTATTTACAAATTATTAGAATTATCAAGGTCTAGTGAGCTTCTTTAACTCTGCTGGGAACATGTTAACTTAGTTCATCTTTGTTTCCAATCAAGAATTCTCTTCTTTTAAATGGTGAATCTTCTCCCTTTTTCATAGTTTTCTCATAGTTGGTCACTTTTGAGAGAAAAAAACAATAAGGTAGTGTTTGGCAACTAGCATTTCATTTCAATTCATGCATTTCAATTCCAAAATTTGAAATCCTGAATTCCAAATGACAAGGAGAGGTGCATGGATTTCAAATTAAGCTTTGTTTTGAATGTAAAGAATTTGATTCAAATACAAATTCAAAATGCTTAAGTTTCCCAAACATGGAATTTAAGCCAAATCCGGATTTGAAATCCAAATCCATGTTCCCAAACATACCATAATCTCATTTTAAGAAACGTATCATGTCGAATAAGTCCCTCAAATGAGTTTGTCTCTCATGAATGTCAACATTATTCGTACCATATTTTTGGTATATTCTAAAGAATTCATCATAATTTTCTTAGGTAGTGTTTGACAACTAGCATTTCATTTCAATTCATGCATTTCAATTCCAAAATTTGGAATCTTGAATTTCAAATGACAAGGGGAGGTGCATGGATTTCAAATTAAGCTTTGTTATGAATGTGAAGAATTTGACTCAAATCCAAATTCAAAATTTTTAAGTTTCCCAAACATGGAATTTGAGCCAAATCCGGATTTGAAATCCAAATCCATGTTCCCAAACATACCATCAGGCCCCGTTTGGTACATGGAATTCAAACTATGGAATTGGAATTGAGGGCTTCAATTCCAATTCTGGTATTTGGTATCACAAAAATTATGTGGATTTGGAATTGATAGTGCAAAAAATGAATTGGAATTGACAGAATTCAATTCTATGGAATTGAATCCCATGGAATCTCAATTCCAATTCAATTCCAATTCCGTCAATTCTGTATACCAAACGGACCCTTATTGAATTTTGAAAGTGGACACTTAAATCTGGATAGAGGGAGTATCATTATGCTTCGTCATTTCTAATTTTCCAATTTCTTGGATTCTTCTATCTAGACCCCTAGACCCCAACACAGTTGGCTAGGCTTGCTACTCATGTTCGATTTTTCTATTTCATTTCCTTTTTGTACTTTTTTTTCATTATATGTTCTTTTGCAGCTCATCTTGGTATTACTTTTTTTTTGGTATTTCTGGTCTTCTCATTTGATTCTAATGAGGATTACCTTATGATTTTGAGATTTGATGGATCTATTTAACCCAATACATGTTAAGGCTTTACCACTTAAAGTCAAAACCAATATAACCTTACAACTCCATATCAAAACTTAAATTGCAGGAAATCTCAAAACTAAGGTATGCATTATGCCCTCGGGTGATGAGAGAGAGGACATTTTGGAAAATCTACTTCATTTTAGTTAAAAGCCACGTAGACCCGTAAGTATATGCTTTTTTGAACATGCTTCATTGTTTGTGATTGATGAGTACTTTGTAGGAAATGCTTCTCTCCATTCCCTACATTAGTACAAAAAGAAAAATGAGAACATGAAAACAATGCTATGGATACGGTCATTGATATATCTAAAATAGGGCCTGACGCTTGCATTTTGTGTTTCCCCATTTGGCTTAGCTTCGAAAAGAGATATATAATGGAAGAAGCAGAACTAAAATCTGCTGCAAAGACTGAAGTGCAAAAAGATTATTCTTCATCTGGTACCACTTCTAAAACCACTGTTGAGGGAAATGTGCAGACCAGTAAAAAGACAACATCAACTACTGAGCAAGATTTGGATATTTTCCTTCTAGGAGAGGACAGTGATGATGGACCAGGTAGGTTTTTGAGGAACTGATTCATTATCAAATAGATTGCGATTGGTTTTTCCTCCTAAAATACCAGACAGTATGATCTTTTACATTCTCCCCAAAATTCTTTAACACTCTTTGGTTCAAGGAATTTAAAAAAGGAAATGAAAAGAAAATGAGAAAAAGTAACTCTTCTTGTCTGGTTAGAGAAGAAAAAGAAAAGAAAAGTTTGGAAATGAAAATGAGAAAAGAAAATGCATGAACCAAACATACTGTAAAAGACCCAATGAAGGAAACACTATTAAAAGATTCCTAATTCATACTTGCATTCTTTAATACAAAATGTATTTTTGGATAAATTTGCTTTTGCTACTCTATCTGTCTAAAACAACATTATGTATGAGTAAGGTACAGCATTTTAGTCAACCAAATCAAGCCACATGCATTTATAAATTATGGATGTTAACATATACACCTAAAACTTACCCAAGACTTTAAAAACAAGTATCATTAACTAAAACTGCTTGCTGTTTGGGGTTTCAAGAATTTCACTTAAACATAATTTTCGACTTATAAATCCAGACTTGTTTTTGAGGGCAAAAATGTTGGCGAAAGAGAATTTTTATACGAATACTGAAGAAGTAATGATACATTGATACTTCTCTTTTAAATTTAAGATGCTCTACCTTTTGTGTGATGGAATAAATTAAAATGGATCTCTAAAGTGTTTGAACTTATTTAATTAATGAAGTAGTAGTTAGTTAATCAATGTAACTTTCAATGTTGAGCCAGGGATGTGTTTGGAAATAATTTCTCTACTTTCGAGTCGTACTTTCGAGTCGGGGTAAGATCTGCATACACACCCTTTCCAGACCATACTCTTGTGAAATTCAGCTGTTGTTTACTTTTTGTGGGCATTCTCTCTTTAGTGTTGAGGCACAGTTTGCTGCGAAGCTAGCAATTGTCACCCCCCCCCCCCAACCCACCATCACCCCAAAATACACACGCATGCAGAATACCCGTTTGTGGGCTAAACATCTTGGGATGTTTAGAACAAATAATCTGTATTTTCTTTTAACTATCTCAGAGTATATCGATATGTTTGAGACCTTCACACCAATGGAAAGGAATTGTTTTTAATCATGTGTGTTACTTTCCATCACTTACTATGTTTTTATATGTCAGATGATGGTGTTGGTGGTTTTGACGATGATTTTGACAAGATATAGATCGGTAAGGCAACTTTCCACATAATCCATCTCATGCAGCAACGTTCTTCACATGAGTTTCAAAAGTAATACCATCCAATATACTTCTCTTAGTGACCGTCTCGCTAGGTTTGAGTGGTCCAACCGGGTTTGAGGGGACTCTTGGGGATGGGGCTTGTCCTTTTTTTTCAAATGTAATACCATAGTTTGTGTTTCACTAAATGAGTAGAAAGTAAACGTTCTTCGCGTACTAGCACTATTAGTGTTCGAAATGGCATATTGCGTAAGACTTCAGGTGTATTGAGTCGTAAGCATCATTTTAAAGTGCCAAAATGTGTATAGAATATTACTCTCTCCGTCTCAAATTAAGTTGTTTGTTTATTATTTACGGGATAAAATTTCATTATTTACTTTCTTTTTTTATTGTTACTTATTTGTTAAAACAATATAGTCATATCACCTCTTATTTTATAGAATTCTTATGTATTTTTTTGATATGTGAGTTTTATTTTTAATCCTGCTTCAATTCTTAAATAAATTATATTGAAAATAATTTCAGTTAAACATTCTAACTGAAACAGGTAATTTAATTGGAACGAATGGTGTAATAGAACCATAGTTTTAAAAATTGGATCAGACTCGTTCAAACTGTGAACGGAGAACTGGTTGTCATAGAAAGTAATTTGCAGTGGATCGGTTTAGCTTGTGATTTTTTTTTGCAAGATTTTTCAGAAGTTTTTAACACCATTTAGATTCGAAAACAAGACCTCACTATTATATGTTAAGGTGCTCCATCTGAGCTAGAGTACTTTTTTGTTACATGATACCATAAGTCTTTTAATACTCCATGATTCAAAGAATAAATATTCTAAAAAGATTTATTTTCTGTTTTACAAACTTTGAAAAATATAATAATGTAGCTGTGATTCAAACTCTTAACCATTGCTACAATTGATACTGATATAGAGTACATATTGTGAAAATATTAACTCATTCAATTTTTTTTTTTGAAAATATTGGGTAAAATTATTGAACAAATAAATTCACCTCTTATATTTAAATTTGTTAATATTGTTTTTAAGTACACATAGATTGTAATTTTGTTTCATTTTAATGCTACTACTCAAAAAAATTAAATTGATTATAACTTTAGTAATACATCATAAATAAAAAAAACTGCTCTTGGATTTTATTTTAAGAAACTGACCGTCGGACACATCACATTTTTAAAATATATTTCAAGGTACCCTCTATTTTGAGAAACTAAATACTAGGTACCTCACATATTTAAAATATACTCTAGCGGGGTACCTCCAAATATACATTAACTTACCCGTGAGAGACATTCCGTCTCACTTTCCATCAAAGCCATTTACGCCATTAATTTTAAGAAATAGGGGTTTGGAATTTCAAAAATAACCTTGGTTTTTATACTTTAAGGATACAATCTATCTAGTTTAATTGGAGCTTTCCAATGAAAAGAAATGTCCGTCACGGGTAAGTTAATATACATTTGAAGGTATCCCAGAATATATTCTAAAAATGTGAGTTACCCGAGAGTAAATTTCTCAAAATAGAGGATACCCTAGAGTATATTTTAAAAATATGAGCTATCCGGCAGTTAGTTTCTCGAAATAGGGTACCCAAGCATAGTTTTCTGCATCATAAATTCTCTTTTAATAAATAGTTGAAGTATTATTTTAATATATATATATATATATATATATATATATATATATATATATATATATATTAATTTTCAAATATGTTTGAACCAGCGGTTCAACTATTTGAACCACTAGTTCAAACACTAAACCAGTGAAACAGTGTTTTGACCAATTCGATCACCGGTCCGGTTCTCAAAACTATATTTAGTGTTAGACAAAGTGTGCAATTTTAGGGGGGTGAATAGAATTGGAGTCTAGAATGAGCATTTTTGCGTGTGATGTAAAACAAAAATTAAAATGCAGGAATAAAGTAAAGAGTAGAGAGGAAGAAGAACAATGCGATATATACTCGTTCACCACCTCGTGCCTAATCCTATCCTTCGAGAGAATCTCACAAAGGTCTTATTAACTTTCAAGTTTCAACGGGTGTTTGAAACTTTTTACAGCTCGAGAACTTCAATCCCACAAGACTCAATACTTTACAACACTTGATTTACGCAAGTCTTAACTACCACAAACTCAAAGATGTATCTTCAAGTTTGAAAGAACATAACACAAAATGAAAGGCTCACACAATGAGCAAGAATGTGTTTAAATATGTAAGCTCTAGTGGATGACAAAGTATTTACACAAGAAAATATTTTCTATACTCTCAATGTATTGATTTGTTTTTAGAAAGATTGATAGAGCAAGAGATAGATAGATTTGAGAACAAATGAGAGTTCTTGGGATATCTTTGAATGAAGGTGGAAGAGGGTTTATATAATGTACAAGAGAATGTCTATTATGCCAAATAATAGGACTTAGGGTTGAGAAATGGACATAAAAAAGCGTTTTTTAGGATAAAAAATCAATTTCTGAAGGCTGGAAAAAGTCAGACAGTAGTGCAAATTGATTTTTCCAAAGGGTGAAAATCGATTTTTGAAGATTGAGTTTAGACCGTTGTTCAGGCAGAATTGAAAAGTCAATTTTTATATATGAAAATCGATTTTTGGAGCGAACACCACAAAGACAGGATAATCAAGAGCATGTGCATGAGAATAATGAATCATGGGACGAATATACCTTGATTTGATGCTCCACTTACCTTAATCATTTTTAACATTTAAACTTTGAATATTTAAATGTGATTGGGGTTTAGAAATTGAGTCTCAAAAATATCTTATGTCTTGAACGATATAAAGAAAAATATTTTAAAAGATATTTTTTTAGCACAAAAATGTATATTTTAAAACAATATTTTCAAAATAATTTGACACACTTTTTGTAACTGACTCAATAAGTATATTTTTTAACATAGAGAATCTTATTTTTCAACTGACTCAAAAATAATATTGTTTTTTTATATAACCCTCATAAAAAATATTTTTATAGAGTTAAGTATTGTTGTCATCCTTGCAATGCTTACTAAGACTAAATAAAATAACAGTTTTCAATAGAAATATTTCACTTCACTTGAGAGTGATGTAGGGATCTTTCAGTAAACATACATCTTTATTTCTTGATACATTTCTTTGCTTTCTTTGTTCCAAAGTTAAATTGCATTTTTCATCGTGTTTGTCAGTTATCAAAATCTGAAAAATAACAACTTTAAAAATACAAAAGGGTTTTAACTCATGTCTAACAATTTTTCCTTTTAGAAATCATCCTAAATAGGACTAAAACATAGAGAAAAGTACCAAAATAAGACTTTCATGTTTTTTCCCCGGAATAGGACTTTGCACTGTGGTAATGTGACTTTGCATTGTGGTAATGTGGCAGTGTACATGTGCAAATTACTATACTTTTTTGGTAATGTATATGACCATGTTTGGTAATGTAAGTCCTATTTCGGGAATAAAAACATGGAAGTCCTATTTTGGTATATTTTCAATGTTTTAGTCCTACTTTGGTCTTTCTCCCTTTCCCTTTTTTATAATGACAAACCAATAATTGAGATAAACAAAGGAGTTAAGTGTGCAAAAAATATCAACGGAGTATCATCGGAAAACAATTTCACAAAAAAAGGGAGAACACTACGTCAAAAACAGATGCCGACAACTGTTTCTTTTAGTAGTTTCATGGTGCTGATTTCAGTAGTCTTCCGAGCAGCTGTCTGATATATTTACAGACTATTGTTTAAAAACAATTGTGTAAAATGGTTGATGGAATAAATCAATTTTTGGCTTTGGGGTGTGATGGAATAAATCAAAATGGATCTCTAAACTGTCTGCGCTTCTTTAATTAATGAAGTAGCAGTTAGTCAAGCAATGCAACTTTCGACGTTGAGTTGAGGGTCTCTTTGGAAACAGCCTCTCTCCTTTCGAGTAGGGGCAAGGTCTGCGTACACACACCCTTCCCAGACCCTACTCTTGTGGGATTTAACTGGGTTGTTGTTGTTGTTGGTTGACGACACTTGTTTTGTAATGTTTTAGAGTACGACTTTTTAATGTTGTCCATGTATGTGTAACGCCCCAAAACATGGTCTAAAAGTTATTCTATTATAAAAGTATTTTTAGAAACAATATTTTGACTCAACAAAGCGTTATTTCTATGTTTGACCAAAAATGAAAGAATTTTTGGAGTCAATGATTTTTGTTAAGATTGACTTTTATGAATAGGTCTCGAAGAGATGAATCCAACGGTATATTTTATGAATAAATCTGATGTACAGAGGTTCACTTATGACATTTTAAATATGTAATTTGTATAAAAATGAGAAAAAGTCAAAGATGTGAACTTTTGTAAAATAATTTATTGAAATAAATATTTATATTTAATAATATTGATTGAATATGAGACTAATTTTAATTACATATCAATTAATTCAATTTTGACTCTGTCAAAGTCAACACCCAAAAATATGCTGTCAGAAAAAGTATTTCAAATAAATATAACAATTACGGAGTATATCATTAAATAGAGTTTGACTGTCTGATCGCAACGGTGTAAACGAATTTCAATTTGTATAAAGTTGGACCAAAAAGTGTACCTCAATTGAGGTAATTTAATCAAACTAAACTGGAAAGAATTAAATAGCGGCCGCCTCCTCCACTCACGGCAATCAAACGTAGGAAATGGTACATTCTAGTAACTAGAATGTTCGTATAGATCGTTTCTACGTTCATAAATGGTCATTAGGTTGAGTTTTGTGTTTGACATATGTGAAGAACCAAGAATCATAAACCTTGAATTTGTTGTTAAAATTTCGAATTGATGCCTCTAAAATGATCTACGAACCTTGGAGAACATTTCTATATAGTTTAATTGAAGTTTGGTGACCAAAAATGGAACTTGAGAAAAATGGGTTAGAGGTTGAAGATGATGAATAGTAACCCCTTCATCTTCCTACATTTTCCAACGGAACGGACGACCGTTCGGACCCAACGGTCAACCGTTACGAACATTTTTAAGTCCAAAAATGCTTTTTTTTTGAAGCTATAAAAGCCTATTTTTTTATACCAATCAATTATGATCAATATAAAAATAATTGTTAAAAATAAAAATGATGTTTTGACAAATAAAATTTTATGTGATGTATGACGTTAAGCTAAGGTGTTAACACTCGATGCTAGACCGCTATTTGTTATTGGATATTGTTAAAATTATTATTGATGTTGTTTATAATTAGACTTTGATGAATATTCTTATTAAAATAATAATTATGAATGATTAAATCATGATTAAAAATGAATATATTGATAATTATGAAATTATGTGTATTATTAAGATTATCTAGAAGAACTCTAAGATATACCCATTTAAATAATTGATATTAAGGTTATCTACAAGACCTCTAGAATAGATCTCAGATGAGAAGAGATTGTGAAAATTTGAATATTTGATAATTTGATAAATAAAAAAAATGTAACGGAACACGTAGACCAAACTAGAGGATCAATCGTTTGGAAATACTTCGACTCAATGATGATTAATTATTGTCTTGTTGTTGCCTTAAACTACTTATAGTTTAAGCGTCTAAGAATTGTTTGCCTTAAACTAAATAAAGTTTAAGTGTCGGAGAACTATTGCCTTAAACTAATTATAGTTTAAGCGTCTAAGAAATGTTTGCCTTAAACTAATTATAGTTTAAGCGTCTGAGAATGAAATTATGATCTGGCCTTAGACTAAAAATAGTTAACAGCGTTGTTATGATCTGGCCTTAGACTAAGAATAGCTAAGGGTGATCTGGCCTTAGACTAAGAATAGTTAAGAACGTTGTTATGATTTGGCCTTAGATTAAGAATAATTTAAGAGCACTATCGAAATAATAACTGAATTGAATAAAATATGTTGATAAGAACTGAATAATATCAAAATTGTGAATGTCGTAAGTGAACATTGTGTGTATGATATCAAATGATTTGATTATGAATTTAGATTCAGTTTATATGGATGTTCGACGCATTAGATATGCTTACTCAGCTTTACCGCTGAGCGTGTAGTATGCTTTATTTGCTACACGCAGGTAAACAGAAAGAATAATGTGATCCTGGCGGCAGATGGGGCGAGATTGTCGGGATGGATGTGACAAGTTTTGAAATGAATTATGATATGTCAATATTTAATTCACTTCCGCAATATTGTTGAATACTCCGTACTGTATATGTTATGAAAAATATTATTGTGATAAATAAAAGTGTTTGAAAAGTTTTAAATTTTTACGGTTACCAAGTTAATACTTTAGTCCAAAAGGGGCTGCAGACCTGGACGGATTAGGGTGTTACAGTATGGGTAAGACATCTGTTTTTTAGAGTTAAAGAAAACTGTGATTTTTTGTTGTCTATCTATAATGAATACTACTGTTGTTTTTAACTTCAGACTCCTAATTCTTGGTGTTGTCGTTCAACAATATAGACATCTACTTTAAAAAGTAATTGAAAGATATATCAGACTGCTGCTCGGAAGACTACTACACAAAAATAGCATGAGACAACTGTTATCTTTTGTTGTATCTCTAGAATATGGACTACTAACATTATTCTTATTCAAACTACTATTTGTTTTAGTTGTATATTGATTATTAACACAACGGTGTTTTGTAGTTTTTCTTGAAGTATTCAAACTATTTTTTATGACAATAGTTGAATTGTTTATCAGACATCTACTCTAAAGATTACTAAAGAAATTTGCTTCAGACAACTATTATTTCACGTTGTATTTTAAAAATATTAACTACTATTTTTGTGGTATTTCAAACAACTGTTTGTTTTGATTGTCTAAATGTTATTAATACTACGCATTTGTGTAGTTGTACATATACTTTTCAAACTATTAGTTTGAATGGTAGTTGAATTTTTTATTAGACACCTGTTATCTTGTGTTGATTACCAAATAAATATAAATTCAAAAAATACAATATATTGAACAAAAATTCATACTTTTAAAATATTATCAACATCTAAGAATTTAATATTTACATCATCTTCCTTACAATTTGCATAATCTACATGCCTGCCTCTTTAATCCATCCTATTCCTATGGTACAGGTTGTTGCTCCTACACAGGAACAAGTGAGGAACCCAATCCTTGAGAATCTTCGTGCATTGAACTTGAATCTCCCACCTGCCAGCACAAAGCCAATAAATCCTGAAATGATCGTTGTGAATCAAGAACAGAACAAGAACAACACACCTGCAAAATGGTGATCTGGTTTAGTAATACTCACGGAAAAATCCAATACGAATCTGATATTGCACTAATCAGCTAGTTTATTATGTCCTACTCTTCAAATTTAAAACAAAGTACAGCTGGTATTAGCTTCTCTTAAATACTCTAAAGAAAGGCAAAAAAAGTGTGTATATGTGTGTGTGTCATATATATTAATACAAATAGAAAAACATAAAGGAGGGGGTGGCCCGTCCCCAACAATAATGGGCCTAAATGAAAGGACTAAAGTAGAGAACAAGAGAAAATAGAACAAATGAACAAATACAATCAAAAGAGTTGGCTTTAGCAGGCTTCCTTACAAGTGGGGTCCCCCTGCACCGTTCTTGTCATTACACTTTTGAATTACAGTTCCTGCGCTATTCCAAAAGCACAACTTGCAGTCCTAGCTATCATACCTTCACTGGAATACGAGAACCATTCCTCAATGTTCAAACCTTAATGTCCAGTACCAGCTAGCAGTCCCATGACTTCTTGTTGTCCAGTGACAGCAATGACTCCTAAAATGCTGCTGATTCTTCTAAAAACCTTGAATTGCGTCTGGGTTTGCTCCAAAAAGGGAAGTGGGGGCTTGCTTGGAAAGTTCAAGTCTAAGGTCTGATTTAGAATGTAAAGAAGAGAATACTGCACCACAACTTTCAATAGCAATATCCATGGTGAAAACTGATTTGAGACCATGATAATCTCTAAAAAAATCTAACCGGAGAAAACTATATAGAAAAACCACCAATGCAGTATATACTAATCAGCAATTATTATATATATATATATATATATATATATATATATGCAAAGTCCTTGGGAATTAGCAACTGTACTAACCTGATGTAACCTTCATAATCATACTCCAAGGATAGCCAAAAAAACATATGAAAAACATTGACAAATAGCAATAGTAACTTGTGGTAATCTTCACAACACTGGAATTCAATTCAAATTCATCCAACCAACAAATTCAAATACCAATAGCATGTCAATGCACGTAGTGTGTTACCTAATCATAGGACAAAAGACACACCTCTATGGGAAAAAGGGCCACCAAAATGATTTGTATACAGCCTGCTGCATTCGATTCTTGAGCTGCTGAAGCATCTTTCGTAGTTTGGAAATCCTTTTCATTGACCAGAATAGATAGAGCATGGTCTTCCATTATGATTTTTACATCATATTCTGACTCATCAAATGCTTACCTAGACTGCTATTTCACCATAGGATTAGGGTCATCCCAAACAACCATTGCTAAAGAGCTAACGGCTGACCAGCAATTAGTAGGCACAACGTACCCCAAACCTTTACTTACAACAACCATAACCCTATGACAAAAGTAAAGATTATAAGAGAAGTTTTAGTCACAATGTCCTCATCCAAACTAATATCAAAGCTATCTTCCAAAAGGAGAAGAGAAACCACACAAATGAATTAAAAGACATATGACTATTAAGGATAGATTAGCGGTTCTTTACCTGTAACAAAGATCAAAGAATACATCATCAGTTTCTTATAATAAAGGAAAGATTCAGCCCTTGGTAGATTTAAATTGGGAGATACGAATTCAATTTAATTAAGTAAAACCTGGACATTAAATTCAAACTTAATTGATGATATTATTTTATAATAAGACACTTTAGTCAATTGACTAAAACATCTTTTTAGAATAAGATAATCAACATCTAAGTCTTAACATCTAAAAGCCAGGAAACTACAACACCCAAAGTAACTAAGCAGCAATCTTAAATATTCAACAGAAATTGTTTGTCCCAGTTGACCAAATGTACTCTAAAATCTGGAGTGCATCTTTGCTCAACCAAACTGACCAGACTTGGCTTCAAATATTGGAAATCTCAATCAACATACACTTTATATGAATTACATTTAGGACCTAGACCTGTAGCAACGTATATGGAAACCAACAATATTTAGCCACTCGAAAACCTAAATCTAGATATATAGCAAACTCAGTATATAAATTATCAGAGGTCTTGTGAAACCTAAATCTAGATATTTAGCCACTCATGATGCATACGAATGAATAAAATACATACTATATATGTGTAAGGAAGAATAGAGTTGAGCAAAATATGAGGGAAAAATGCTATGATTCAATTATAAACAAAAAGGGCTGCCAAACTGAGTTCTTTACTCAGTCTATGAAGTAATTTCCAATCGGAAGCCATCGCCGTCTGAAATCTGAGTACTGGTCGCCGATTCCAAAGTTGAAGCTCGTCGAAGATGAGTCTCCCTGGTTTCGTGCTCCACTGCTCGTCCAGCATCGGTCGCAGAGCAGCGTCAATGTCTCTTTCCGTCCTAGGCGGCAGCGGGCAGTCTTAGATCTAGGAGAAGCAACACGCTAATTTCCCTTTTTGTATATACTAGGGTTGTACTCCTTAATTTAAAATAATGTACCCGAGTAAAACACACTTTTCGGGCTAACATGCTTCGAATTAAGATTTGTTTGCATCGTTAAATTCAATTAGTCGATCCTTACCCAACAATATAACTTTTATAATAAATCAACAAGAATTTACAAGTTCCACCTAGTCCGTCTTGATTCTTTCGATTAATTAACACTGATCAGTCTTTTAATTTAAATATTTACAAATACGATCTGATTAGTCTTGTTTTATTGAGACGATTAAAATCTATAAAGTATCTTTTAATCCTTTAAACGAATAGATTATCGTAAATAGATAATTCTTATTTATTTAATTATTGATTAACATCTAGGGCGTTATATCGTAGGCGTTGATTAACTCTCATACGATGTCAAAAATATGTCATCTTTTAAAATAATTTTATGAGTAAATTCCATAAAAGATCTCCAGTTATAGGTCGTTTTACATATTTAGTCTCTACATATCAAATATTACTAATTTAATCCCCGATTATTATATTCATTTCCACGAATGGTCTTCTGTTAACAATTTGGTTAAGAACGTGGATAAAATTGTAAATTCACACTCCTTTCTCTCCTCAATTAAGTTTCCTCCCTCCCCTTGCACTCCTTTCCAAACTCGTCGCTGAGTTTGAAGCTTTGAACCCAAAACCGAAGTTATCACTCTTCTCTCAATTATTTGTCTAACTAGTGGAACCCAAATTCGAAACCAGTAACCTTCATGTAGGTTGTGTCCTATTTGCCTCATATAATCTTTAAATGCATCAGATCGAATCTAATTATATCGAATCAGACCAAAACAGATATAATTAAATCAAATCAAATTCAAATCCAATGTGATGACATCAAAATTATTCAAGGAAAATCTTTTCAGTTGTATAGGTTGTGTCATATTTGCCTGATCTAATCTTTAAACGCATTAAATCGAACCTAATTAGATAGAATTAGACCAAAACAGATCTAATCGGATCGAATCGAATTCAAATCCAATAAGATCATATCAAATCTTCAAAAAGATCTATTTACTTGTATACGTTGTGTTCTATTTCCTTGATCTAATCTTTAAATGCATCGGATCGTACCTAATTAGATCAAATCGGACAAAAACAGATCTAATCCGATCAAATCAAAATCAAAACCAATAAGATCAGATCAAATCTTCAAAAAGATCTATTTACTTCTCTACGTTGTAAATAAGATCGGATCAAACTTTCACAAGAAACATGTTTTCTTGTATAGGTTGTGTCCTAATTGCCTGATATAATCTTTAAATGCATCAGATCGGACCTAATCAGATCAAATCGGACAAAAATAGATCTAATTGGATCAAATCAAATTCATGTCCAATAAGACCAGATCAAATCTTCAAAAAGATCTATTTACTTCTATACGTTGTGTCCTATCTGTCGAATCTAATCTTTAAATGCATTAGATCGGACCTAATTAGATCAAATCAGACAAAAATAGATCTAATCAGATCAACTCAAATTCAAATCCAATGAGATCAGATCAAATCTTCAAATAAAATCTAAATTCTTATATAGGTTGTGTCCTATTTGCCGATCTAATCTTTAAAAGCATCAGATCGGACCTCATTAGAACAGGCAAATATGACACAAATTATACAAGTAAAAAGATATTTTAAAGATTTGATCTGATCTTATTGGATTTGAATTTGATTTGATCCGCTTAGATCTATTTTGGTCTGATTCAATCAAATTATATCCGAACTGAAGAATTTAAAGATTTGATCAGCCAAATTGGAACTGTGCAAGTAACTAGTTTAGTTATGTAACACCCTAATCTGTCCATGTCTGCAGCCCCTTTCAGATTAAAGTATTAACTTGGTAATCGTAAAAATTTAAAACATTTCAAACACTTTTATTTATCACAATAATATTTTTCATAATATAAACAGTACGGAGTTTTCAATATTGCGGAAGCTTAACAATTATAATCACAAACATAATTTATTTATGTTCTTTAATTCAAAACCAACACATCCATTCCGACAATCTCGCCTCCGTCTGCCTCCAGGATCACGTCACTTCATTAACCTGCGTGTAGCAAATAAAACATA